AGAAACTGGAAGAGACGTGCATTTTTGAGGGACTCAATTGTGGATCTCTCACAAGGGATCAAGCCTACTTTCCCCCCTCTTTTCTCTCAGCTAGGAACAACTGTTGAGGAACTGGCATACTTTCTTTCAGAGCTATATAAATAGAAAGTTCACCCTGTTATGCCAGAACGGGATAGGGCTTTAATTAGAGAGCTAATGTATTTTTTTCTTGCAGTGCTAAGGATGGAGCCTGTGGTCTGACACCTGCCGCACATCCCCGTTACCTCCAGCTCTTGTTCTTGATAGCTTTATTAAATTTTATCTGCTTCTTTAAGCTTTGTTATATGCAAGTAATAAATTACGCTAACTTAGATTCATTACTTGTTAGTCTTCATTTGAGAATTCAAAAATCAGCTTAGTTTTGCACCATTTTTCTTAAGAGAAGCTTATTTAAAAAAAAAATACACAACTCACTGGTTAAACCAGTAACTCAAGAAGTAATGAGTTACCTCATTATGCCTTCAGTTTTTAGAGCTAACTATACTTCTTCTCTGAAAACCAACAAACATGCTCCTTTTTCCCCTTTTATAATCAGTGCCCCTTTCCTGATTAAAAAATTACTACTTTGAGTCCATTCAACATGACATAGTAAATGAGTGAAATTGGAAATAATACATTTTTATGGGTGTGGCTAGTCATAGATTCTTTGGTTATTATTTCCCTTTATGTTTATGAATAAACTAGATGAAGACTTGTTGATGTGGGTATTGTACGCATAAGCTTGTGATTATGATACTGTGCACCCGTCAGTATGTGGCAGCTAATGTCTCCAGTCCTATTTCTTCTGTTAATGGCCGTAAGTTACTCATTGTCTTACTAGCTGTGAATACATTTAGTGGTAACAGAAAACTTGATTAATAAGTGACTTAAATACATTGGAGGTTATATTCCTCATGTAAAAATAAGTCCAAGGGTGCTGAGTTCAGAGTTGGTCCCATGACCTGAGGCTATCGTCATGAGACTCCATTTCTTTCCATCTTCCTGCCCTGGTGTATGGTACCCTCCTTAGGGTAATAAGATGACTGCTCTGACCCGGGCTGGGGTATTCATTCCGGGCAGAGAGAAGCGAGGTACCAGTACTTTACCAGAAATCTACTCCAGAGTTACAGTGTGGACAGGGAAGACTCTTTAAAAACGTGCACACAGCCACAATAAACACAGTTAGGATTCAGCTAGTGGGTGAGAGGGGAGGTAGACACTGTGTGGTTGCCTTGAGGTGTCTGCCACATCCCGTACTGACCCTTTGTTCTGACTTAATGTGTAGTCGTGCTCCTCATAAGAACAGCAGTCAGGTTTTGAAAATGGAGTCAACCGTGCCCTTCCCTCTTTTTAAAAACATAAGCATCTCCGAGCTCACTGCAGCCCTTAACTGGACTCAGTACTGTCTGTAGGATGGCCCCACTTGCAAACATGATGATAGGCCCCCTGCACTTAGTTCTGATACTAGGTATGACATCTCTGGCTTCTTTATTTCAGTCAGGTTTGTCACGGTTTCCCAAGCTAGAGATTCAGTATCATCCTAACCTTTAAAAGTTCTTTATTCTCTTATCCAATGCATCGAGACACCTTGATTTGATTCCTGTTCCGTATCACTGGCCACCACTTCCGTAATCCATATTCTTGTGGACAGGGTTTCCGCAGTGGCTGGCACCCGGTCCCTCTCCTCATCATCACAGTCATTAGCTCTCTACTCCTGAAAGGTAGCTTTTAAACACTTGGGCTCCACTTAAACGTTTTAAAATCAGACTCCACTCGTTTTTGTCTTTCAGAGTTTCTCTCATGACAGAAATGCTGTACTTATCTCTCCGTGGCAGTGTGCTGCCCTGGTCAGAACGTTTCTGTAGTGCCGGCTTCTCGTGTACCACCCCGTGAGGACATAGCTGTCAATCTCTGTCAGGGACTCTTGGACCCTTCTGTCTGGTTGTGGCTCTTAGCTCCACTTGTATCCTGCTTGTGCCACATTGTTTCAAATCTCCTTATGTAGGATCTAGATACTAAATTCCTTTCTTCGAGACTTGTTTGGGTCTGGCATGGAGGTCGGTTGGTAGGGTGCTTGCCTGACATGCATGAAGCTCTGGGCTCACTCCCTGGCATCATATCCACCCTCCCTGGAGTGTGAAGGGAGGTAGAGGCAGGGTCACCACAAGTACAGGCCATTCTTGACTACATAGTGAAGTCTACACCAACCTAGGCCATATGAAGTCCTTTCTTAAAAAACAAACCAATGCCCAAAACCAACTTCTTTTTAACATATTTAAATTAAATGTGTAATTTATTTTTATTTTATGTGCATTGGTGTCAGAAGCTCTGGAACTGGAGTTACGGATAGATATGAGCTGCCCTGTGGGCGCTTGGAGTGGAACCCAGGCCCTCCAGAAGAGCAGCCAGTGCTCCTAACCAGGGAGCCATCTCTCCAGACTTTTTTTTTAAATATTTATTTTTTTAGTTATTTTTATTTCATATGCATTGGTGTTTTAGCATTGTTTTCTTATCTGTTACTTTAAATAACTATATGTGAGCACATGTGCACATATGTGATAGAGGTTATGTTTCCTTGTCACACGGTTTTGAACTCCTGGTTATCTTTTCTTCCCCTTAAGTCATGAAGAGAGGAATAACTGAGACAGGAACTCTGTACGAAGAACAATGAAAAGTGTTACTGGAAATTCCTTTCCCATCCTCTTGGCCAGTCTCTCTGTAATGACAGGATTGTGTTATATCAGAGTATCTTGGGATAGAAGAATTTATATGGTGTGTTAGCTGCTTTCCTGTTGTTGTGATAGAATACTCAGATAAAAACAAGTCGGGGAAGAAATGGTTTATTTTGGCTCACAGTCCCAGAGGGGTTAAGTCCATCATCAGAAGAAGCGGGGCGTGGTAGCGGGAGCGTGAGGCTGGCCTGGCAGTCAGGAAGCAGAATGATCACATGTCACCTCCACGTAAGAAGCAGAGAGGGGATGGGGGAGATGAGGCCAGCCCTAACAACAGTCTCAACACTTTATACCCACGGGTAAGTGTAGTCTTCACCCCGTGTCAAGGAAACTTGTCACCGCAGCACCACGGAGACCACCGCAGAAAACCACAGCCAATCAAAATGCAGAGTGGTGGGGCCCAGTCCTCGTGGATAAAACGTTTATAAAACGCTCCTGTACCCAAGGCTCGAGGAACATTGCGGGAAGAGGGTGTGGAAAGAGTGTCAGAGCCAGACGATCAGGGGGTTTTGTGGTGGGAGTGTGTCTCCTAGGAATGCCACACCCGTGGAGTCTCACCAACCGCCCAGACACGAGCTGAATAATGACAGTGCCAATAGATAAGCCAGAGTGGACAGGGGAAAGCCCACACGGCCTCAGCCCTACACAGAGAGCTGCAGGAAACTACGGAATGCAGAGAGTGGGAGAAACTGTCTTCCCCAGGGAAGAGCACACCAGTTAGTAATCCAATACCAAGTGGTCAGCTCTGAAAACATATATATAAACCATTGTACAGACGGAGCAAGTTGGATTCGGGGTGTGTGTGTAATACCAGTTATGAAAAAAGAGGCCATGATTTGAAAGAGAGCATGGGGGACATATTTAGGAGGAAAGGGAAAGGAGAAATGTAATTATTTTATAATCTTAAAAAAAAGTGAGGCCGGGCTGCAGGGTATAAAAACACCATACCTACTCCTAGTGACATGCTTCCTCCAACAAATAGGTGCCTCCTAAAAGTTTCAAAATGTTCTCTAATAGCATCCCCAGCTGGGGACCAAGTGTTTGATACATGAGCCTGTGGGGGACATTTCTTATCCAAACAACAATGTATAGGCTATTATTATTTTTTAAATGTTTTAATTGAAGTAGAATCACATCATTTACCCCTCTCCCTTTCCTCCATCCAGTCCCTCCCATGTGCCTCCCAACTTTCAAGTTGATAGCCTCTTTTTCTTTATTACTGTTATGGACAGATGTGTATGTATGCATGTACACAAATACAGAAATACAACCTGCTGATCTGTTTTTGTTGTGTGTATGTGGCTTCAGAGCCGACCACTTGGCATTGGACACCCAATAAAGGGGGCTCATCCCTGGGAGAGGCGAATTCTTCTTTTTCCAGCAGTCTCTAGCCGCCTGAAGTTCTTTGTTTAGGGGTGGGACCCTGTGAAATTTCCCACCTCCCATGTTGCTCTGCCCATTGATACCGCCATTGCTCTGGTCTTGTTTATGCAGCCATTTTTAGGAGAGACTGTCTCACTGCAGACTTTCTCGTAGTCTGGCTCAGCAGCCCTTGTTTGTTTTAGGAAACAGGGTCTCGTATCATTCAGGCTGGTCTTAAAACTGATGTACAGTTTCTTTCACCTGCCTCTGCCTTCTAAGTGTTGTGTGCGTGTCTTATAAAGACAGATACGAAGGAGTAAAGACATGCTGCTCCAGGTTTTTCTTAGAACAGTGGGTTGCATATATTAAAAGCTGATTATCCTTCAGTTAACATGGATCTAGAAAGTTTCTAGGTGGGGGCTGGAGAGATGGCTTAGCAGTTAAGAGTGCTTGCTGCTCTTGCAGAAGACCTCGATTTGATTTTGATTTTGATCACAACTGCTTGTAACTCCAGCTCCAGGTGATCCATTGCCCTCCTCTGGCCTCTGTGGGTACTGCACTCGTGTGCACTGCCCCTCCCCCACACTTAAAAATTTTTTGGAAAGGTAAGTGGGCATACGTAAATGGTTATTCCACTTAGTGTTTAGGTAGAATCCTAAGTGATAGGATTGAGGGGCCGTGTGAGCAAAGTATCTACACAGTGTTAATAAGAATGGGAATAATTTGAATGTTAACTAAACACTGTAACTTTAAACATTATAACTTTAAACGTATGGTACTTCTGAATGATGCATGTTTAATGGTGCAGAAATAACATAGAGCCATTTGTAATTTTCAAGAGATGATTATTTTCTTATAGTTTGCCTTTATTTGCTTTTGTTCCTAAAGACATTTTCTCCCAGATGTCAGATTCCAATGGCTTGATGATGTTTGGCAAGCTTGACCAGTTTCTGAAGGAAGCCCTGAAGCTCCCGACAGCTGTCTTTGAAGGACCATCCTTTGGTTACACAGAGCATGCAGTCCGCACCTGTTTTCCACAGCAGGTAAGGACCTTTGACACGGCCTCGGCCTACAGGAGCCTCCAGCTTCTCCCAGATTCCCCAGATGGCTTCCAGCAGAGGCCTGAGTAAAGGCAGGGGGGCGGGCGAAAGTTCACCTGAGGACTCTGGTTCTCAGGTAAGGTAACCTTGGAAGTATTTTTTTTTTTCAACAAAGATTTATTTATTTATTATGTATACAGCATGTATGTCTGTAGGCCAGAAGAGGGCACCAGATCTCATTACAGATGGTTGTGAGCCACCATGTGGTTGCTGGGAATTGGACTCAGCACCTCGGGAAGAGCAGACAGTGCTCTTAACCTCTGAGCCATCTCTCCAGCCCAACCTTGGAAGTATTTTAAAGAAAAATGTTTTAAAGTTTTTTTTTTTTTTGGCATTATTGCGACTGAATGTATATGTTTTTCCCCCTTCTTTTTAAGTAAGGTTCTTTAAATTTTAAATGGAGGGATTTTGACCTAAAGCTATAGCGATCTTGGATCATTGTTTTCTGCACAGTGTTCACCTGCCCCAGCAGAGTGCACTGAGTGCACATTGCATGTGACATGGTCAGGAGTTTGGCTGCTTTTCCTGATTTTTCACCTAGAGGTTGGTATGAGTGAGTTCCCAAGAGTTTTTTTTTTTTTTTTTTTTTTTTGGTTTTTCGAGACAGGGTTTCTCTGTGTAGCTTTGCACCTTTCCTGGGACTCACTTGGTAGTCCAGGCTGGCCTCGAACTCACAGAGATCCACCTGGCTCTGCCTCCCGAGTGCTGGGATTAAAGGCGTGCGCCACCACCGCCCAGCCCCCAAGAGTTTTTAACTCTGCCTCGGAGACTGGGAATAGAGTAGATACTCATAACTCAAGGTAGAGAATAGATAAAAGTACTATAATACTGCGTTTAGAAAGTTAGGACAAACAGAAAATTAAGGGGGAAAAAATCTGTTTTAAAATCAATAGAAAAGGGGCTGGAAAGATGGCTCAGTAGTTAAGAGCACTGGCTGCCCTTCCAGCGGACTCAGATTCAAGTCCCAGCACCCACGTGGCAGCTCAAGCCTGTCTGTAACTCCAGTTCCAGGGGATCACACATACACACACACATACACACACACACACACACACACACACACACACACACACACACACACACACACACTTAGAAATAATCAAAGCAAATGTTAAAAAGAAGTATCTTCAGAAAGAATAGAAACACTAATAGAGTGAGTTTGGACAAAGTTTAATACAAGAATTAAATTCATCTGAGTGATGGTGTCACACGCCTTTAATCCCAGCACTCAGGAGACGGAGGCAGGTAGGTCTCTGAGTTCTAGTCCAGCCTGGTCTAGAGAGCAAGTTCCAGGATAGCCAGGGCTACACAGAGAAATCCTGTCTTGAAAAAAACAAACAAGGATTAAATTCAGTAAATTTTGGAGTTCTTTTTGTAAACAGTCTTTTTTTTTTTCCCCCTGCATTCTCCTTCCTACAGTGTATTTCTTTGATGTGAGTTGGTTGTCACACTGTCAGCTGGAGGATTGTTTCCAGGCAAATTAGAGATGGCCTTGCTGGTTCTGATGCAGACTTCCTGATGCTTTGGGATGAGCAAGGAAGTGACTGATGCCAGTTAGAGAAAGGATGGAGATTTAAGAAACACCGGAGGTCCTGCAGACCTTCCTTAAGTGAAAGAGTTAAGAGGCAGGAGGTCCAGCCTTTACACATCACACCTTGACAGGGTCCTCTGCAAATGTGTTGAGCCACATTTGGACATGCCTGAAGAGGTTGTGAGCTGCTTCCCTTTCTGCAGCATTCAGGTGACAGGCAGTGATGACACTTCCTCAGCCTAAAGTACAAGGTTATGGAATTATGACCCAGTGTTTAGTTGGATAAGACTGACCCATATAGGAAATTGTTGCCCTTAGGAAGAAGGAACGAAGTATTGGACGTAAGCCTTAAAGTTTTGTTTGGCTGATTCTTAGTGGTTATAAACCAACCAACTGAAGTCAGAGGCTTAAAAGTTATTGAATATAAACAGAAAATGAATTTAAATTTCTCCCCAGTTTTCTAGATTCCCAAGTTTTGGAGGAAGACTGTTTTCTAGGTCTTGGTACTGACTTTAGCTTAAAGAGTTGACTGCTCCCATGGAGATTTTAGATCTGTGTGGGAAGGGGAATGTGAACATCAGAGTCGGGAGGGAGGGTGGCAGGATGGAAGGTACGTCCTACAACATGGCAGTCAGTGTCTTCAGACATCTCCTTGATGCACAGAAGAGGTGGGAATATGGAGAGAGGGGTGGCATTTTTGTTGGTTAGTTTTCAAAATAGTGAGACTATTTCATCTATTGGAGCTACTTCCTGATCCGACTTTATCTAGCAGATCTCCTCTGGCTATGTGCCAAAATGAATTTTCTTTCTGCTCGGAGACATTTTCTGGTTGTTCTGACCTTGCTTTCCTGGACGTTGAATAAAATTTGGCAAGAATTACCTGGCACATGCATATTTGTGTTATACCGTACACATTTTAATCAAAGGATTTATTTCATGGTCCCCTCAGCAGCCCTTCAACTGGGTAATTTCTGTAGATGAGTACCATGTTTTGTTGACCTGCAGACATCTCTTCACTTGTCATCTCTGGTGTTGAGCTATTTCTCATGACCAGTGGCGTCTTAGTTTCATTTGGGTAGGCACTGGCTGTGACAGGCTGTCATTTCCTGCATGTGTGAGAACTTGGCCAGGACTGTTTCGTGTTGACACTGCTGCTGAGTTAGAGCCACTTTTGGTACTATACATGTCATTTCAGTCTTCTCAAAAATATATACTGTGACCTGGCGTTAACAAGTTACTGTAAACACAGGAAGATGTGAACACAGACCAGAGGAGAAGACATTGGATAATTACAGCATTTGCAAAGCAACAATTAGGTATTTACAGTATCTTGTTTTAGAGAGGATATCTACAAAAAGATGAAACTAGATTATATTATTTTTTATTACCAAACATCGGTGATATCTCCGGGTTTCTATTACTTCAGTGAAACACCATAGCAAAAAAGCAAACTTGGGAGAAAAGGGTTTATCTGGCTTACACTTCCATATTGCTGTTCGTCAGGACAGGAACTCAAACAGGGTAGGAACTTGGGAAGCAGGAGCTGATGCAGAGGCCATGGAAGGGTGCTGCTTACTGGCTTGCTCCCCATGTCTTGCTCTACCTGCTCCCTTACAGAACCCAGAAACCACCAACCCAGGGATGGTGATGGGCCCTCTCCCAGTGATCACTAATAAGAAAATGCCTTACAGAAGGATCTTATGGAGGCATTTTCTCAATTGTTTCCCTCCTTTCAGATAACTCTCTCGCTTGTGTCAAGTTGGCCTAAAACTAGATAGGACAAGTGATGGCCAAAATACCGCAGAAGAATTTCTTGTCACATCAAGCAGTGCATTTGAAGGCAGTGAAAACCCCCGAATCCTTTTGAGTTAGATGAAAGAAATTTCACTTCGTTAAGAGCTGGGTGTGATTGCTCACATGTAATGAGGAATTGCGGCTAATTAAGCCATTGAGTTAGTTTAATTGGCTAAGTATTTTTCTTCCTTAGTGGTAGAAAAATATATATAATGATGTACCTTAGAAGTGATCTTCCCAGTGCATCTTAGATCAGATGAAATAGAGCGTATAAAATGGGTTTTATTATGAACGAACCTGTCTCACTACCATTAATTAGACTGAGCAAAATTACAGAGACCTAGAAGTGAAGTTTTGTTCTAGCTGGGTCTGCAGAGGAGAATGTCTTATTAAATGAGTCCTTAGACACGGCAGGTGGTTCCCCAGTTTTCTCTATTGAATTTTGATAGCGCCTGCTGCCTGCATACTATACAAAAAGTCCCCTACTCAGTTATTGCTAAGTGTGGAAACAGATCCAGCTGCATGTGCCATGCATACCTGCCTGCCTGGGGCTGTGGGCAGGGTGGCAGGCTCCAGCTTGGAGTCTTGGGGCTGGTGCTCCAGCTCTTTGCCTGATGTTTGCTGGTAGCGCAGTCTAGAGGGCATTCTCCTAGACCTTGGGTATTGCTCCTATCCTGCTGCTTTGTAGTTTTCTAGGCTTTATGGACAGCAGGAAAATTTGTTTTCCTTGGCTTGCTGGTCCCTTAGTGGCTCAGTGGTCATCGAAAGAAGGCTGGCTGCTGCACCTGTGTCTTATTGGTCCTTTTAATCATAAGCAAGTTTGATGTTGGATCATTTCCTGAAATACAGCTCTCAGATGGAGAAATGGCTCAGCTGGTAAAGAGCTTGCCTTGCAAGCATGAAACTCCCAAGTTTGATCCTCAGAACTCATGTAAAAAGATCTGGGTTGAGTGAGTGTGCTTGGGATCCCAGCACTGGGGAGGCTGGGAGCCAGGAGGAAGCCCTGGGCTCGTCTGCCAGCTAATCGAGCTGAATATGGTGAGCTGTAGCTGCAGAGAGAGATGTTGACCGAATTATCTCCACTCTTTTGGAAAGCAAAATAAAAACTTTTATGAATTCCTCTGTGCCTGCTGATAAGGTTCCTAGTGTGCCCTCCTGGCCCCTGCCATTCCACCCTCAGCCTGTCTCTTCTACGGGCATTCCTGGTGCAGACCCCTGCCACCAAGCCACGCTTGCTCCCTGGAGGCCCTTGCCAATGTCCTGCTTGGTCTCTGCAGCTTTGATTTACATTTCTCTTGTTCTGAGTAACCTGCACTTGGGTGAGTGAGACTAACCAAGGTCCAGTCTCTGTGTATTTGTTAGCTTCCAATGAGGTGCAAGTCTCCCTGATGGCTCTCCCCGCCACAAAGGCCTCTGATTTCATCTCTCAGCGAAGATCCCTATCACTCCTGTCTGATGCTCTGAATCCTTCAATGTTCTGCACTCCCGTAGCATGTGTTGCATGCAGCTCAGGGGCGCCCTGAGGGAGGGACGTTAGTCCCCGCCAACTGCACATCTCTGATGATAAACAACACCATGCCTGGAAAATGAGCCACGCTTACTAAATATTTAAACAGTG